CGGAACTCTTACCATTATGCTTCACTATGGAAGTTACTTCATCATTCTCTGGTTATTGGATATTCATCTGTATTTCTGGATATTTGTCTGTAAAATGGGGGCAATAATGGTACCTCCCTCGTAAGGTTGTTGTTTTTTGGATGAAGTGTGTGAAGTTAAAAAAAAAAAAAAGTTCTATGTGAATAGTTAAGCAAAATGTGGTATAGACATACAATGGACTACTATGCAGTCTTACAAAGGAAAGGAATTCTGACGTGTCCTACACAGAAAAAACCTCCAAGACATTATGCTAAGTGAAACAAACCAGTCACAAAAAGACAAATACCATGGGATTCCATTTATATGATACTATAGGCTGATGTTTGTGTCTCTCCTAAATTCATATGTTGAAACTCAACCCCCAAATGTGACGGTGTTTGGAGGTGGGGCCTTTGGATTAGGTCATAAGGGTAGAGTCCTCATGAATGAGGGATTAATGCCCTTATAAAAGAGACCCCAGAGAGTTCCCTTGCCCCTTCCACCATGTGAGGACACAGGGAGAAGAGAGCCGTCCATAAGCCAGGAAGCAGGCCGTCTCTAGGTACCTAGTCTCCTGGCGTCTTGCTCTTGGACTGCCAACTTCCAGAACTATGAGACATGAATTTCTAGTGCTTATAAGCTCCCCAGTCTATGGTGTCACATTATAGTAGCTCAAATGAACTGAGACATAGCAGGTCCTTGGAAAGGTCAAAATCATCAAGACAGAAAGTAGAGCTGTGCTCACCAGGGCCTGGGGGAGGGAGGAGTGGGAGCTATTGTTTAATGGATATAAGGTTTCAATCTGCAGGATGGGAAGAGTCCTGGAGATGGACAGTGATGATAGTTGCACAACAATAGGAATGTACTTAATGCCACAGAACCGCACACTTAAACATGGTTGAGAGAGAAAAATTTACATTATACAGTATAAAAATTAGGTGTAAGATATATGCACACACATATGACATGTGAAGAGAGGGTGTCTAGGAGAATATACACAAAGCTGTTGCCAGTGGTTGAGGAGAGAAGTGGAAATGCAGTGTAAAGGGGGAAAGTCATTTTCATTCCACGTGTTCCCATGGAGAACGTGCTAGAAATGGACGTTCAGACAAGGATTCCTTCTGTCTTCAACTATGTTGAGTGATTATCTCACTTGTTTTTGTACCTCCCTCCTGCACCAGTGCCTAGAAGGCCTACTTCTCTCTAGACTCCAGTGTGGAAATTTGTTTTAAAAATGTTTATTTATTGGCACAAAAACAGACACATAGACCAATGGAATAGAATAGAAACCCCAGAACTAGATCCACAAACGTATGGCCAACTACTCTTTGACAAAGCAGGAAAGAATATCCAATGGAAAAAAGACAGCCTCTTTAACAAATGGTGCTGGGAGAACTGGACAGCAACATGCAGAAGGTTGAAACTAGACCACTTTCTCACACCATTCACAAAAATAAACTCAAAATGGTTAAAGGACCTGAATGTGAGACAGGAAACCATCAAAACCCTAGAGGAGAAAGCAGGAAAAGACCTCTCTGACCTCAGCCGTAGCAATCTCTTACTCGACACATCCCCAAAGGCAAGGGAATTAAAAGCAAAAATGAATTACTGGGACCTAATGAAGATAAAAAGCTTCTGCACAGCAAAGGAAACAACCAACAAAACTAAAAGGCAACCAACGGAATGGGAAAAGATATTTGCAAATGACATATCGGACAAAGGGCTAGTATCCAAAATCTATAAAGAGCTCACCAAACTCCACACCCAAAAAACAAATAACCCACTGAAGAAATGGGCAGAAAACATGAATAGACACTTCTCTAAAGAAGACATCCGGATGGCCAACAGGCACATGAAAAGATGCTCAACGTCACTCCTCATCAGGGAAATACAAATCAAAACCACACTCAGATATCATCTCACGCCAGTCAGAGTGGCCAAAATGAGCAAATCAGGAGACTATAGATGCTGGAGAGGATGTGGAGAAACGGGAACCCTCTTGCACTGTTGGTGGGAATGCAAATTGGTACAGCCACTCTGGAAAACAGTGTGGAGGTTCCTCAGAAAATTAAAAATAGACCTACCCTATGACCCAGCAATAGCACTGCTAGGAATTTACCCAAGGGATACAGGAGTACTGATGCATAGGGGCACTTGTACCCCAATGTTTATAGCAACACTCTCAACAATAGCCAAAGTATGGAAAGAGCCTAAGTGTCCATCAACTGATGAATGGATAAAGAAATTGTGGTTTATATACACAATGGAGTACCAGAGGGCAATGAGAAAGAACGAAATATGGCCCTTTGTAGCAATGTGGATGGAACTGGAGAGTGTGATGCTAAGTGAAATAAGCCATACAGAGAAAGACAGATACCATATGGTTTCACTCTTATGTGGATCCTGAGAAACTTAACAGAAACCCATGGGGGAGGGGAAGGAAAAAAGAAAGAGGTTAGAGTGGGAGAGAGCCAAAGCATAAGAGACTGTTAAAAACTGAGAACAAACTGAGGGTTGATGGGGGGTGGGTGATGGGTATTGAGGAGGACACCTTTTGGGATGAGCACTGGGTGTTGTATGGAAACCAATTTGACAATAAATTTCATATATTGAAAAAAAAAAACAAAAACAAAAACAAACAAAAAAAAATGTTTATTTTGAGAGAGAGACAGAGTGCACGAGCGAAGGGGGGGGCGGTGGAGTGCAGAGAGAGAGGGAGAGAGAGAATCCCAAGCAGGCTCCACACTGTCAACACAAAGCCTGACATGGGGCTCGAACTCACAAACCCTGAGATTGTGACTTGAGCCAAAATCAAGGGTCTGACACTTAACTGACTGAACCACCAACTGAGCCAACCAGGCACCCTTGGAAATTTATGATAAGGTTTTAAATTCGTACTGCAAGATAGACTTTTTTTTTAATGTTTACATATTTACTTTTGAGAGAGAGAGAGCACAGGGGGGAAGGGACAGAGAGAGAGAGGGAGACACAGAACCCGAAGCAGGCTCCAGGCTCCGAGCTGTCAGCACAGAGCCCGATTGCGGGGCTCAAACTCATGAACCATGAGATCATGGCCTGAGCCAAAGTCGGCCTAAGCATGGCCTAAGCCAAATGCTTAACCAACTGAGCCAACCAGTCTCCCCTCATACTGCAAGATAAATTGCTACTTTTCAAATTGTGAACTTGCAACAGGAGAAGAGAGGATTTTGAATTTGAATTTGACTTGAAAAGTGGGTGGAGAAAGTGGCCACTCCTTCCTTCCTGTTCATTCCAGGCCTTTCTCTACTGGGCTCCTTTATTATTTTTTTTTAAGTTTATTTATTTATTTTGAGAGAGAAAGAGAGAGCATGAGCAGGAGAGGGGCAAGAGAGAGGGAGAGAGAGAGAATCCCAAGCAGCCTCCATGCTGTCAGCGCAGAGCTCAAATCCTTTATTTTGAAGGGTAGCTAAGACATGCTGAGGTCTTGTTGGGTGGATTGGAGATGGAACACTCCATGTGTCATCTAATAACTACCAGTAGATGGTTGCTGAATGAAGGACAGAGAGCAGTAAGAGAAACTGAAGGAGCCAAGAGGTACTTGGCTTACTTCAAAGGAGCCAAGAGGTACACAGATCTCTGGTAATGGCAACCACACAATGCCATCTCATGGGGATTAAGGATGAGGGCATTATCTTGTCTGCCAGGGTGTAGTTGAGCCATTCCTTTTTATGTCATGATGGCGGTAGCAGGTGTGGGTAAAGTGTCATCCCCTATTATTGTGAGGAGGAATACGAAGGCTGAGGGGCTCTTGTCTTGGAGATGTTGGCTGATTTGTGGTGTTTTCTGCCTGGCAGTATACAACTGGCCTTAATACTAACACATCAAACATCAACCCAAAGTGATAGCAATGACTTCAATCACCGTGTTTAGGTTCTTAAAAACTTTCCCACAAGGTCAGCCGTATCACCTGCAGGTCCCAGTGCAAAATGAAAATGTAAGACCCCTTGTTCAAAATAATATGAAGCATTTCAAGAAGGTGACATCAGAGGAGTAAGTCACACACTGGGGACCTCTAGGCAGGAGTCTCCGCATGACTTCTCAGCCTGGGAAGCCACTCTGCCATCCACATCAATACAGACTCACCCCCCATCTTTCTCTGACTCCCCCATCTCTCATTGTCCTATTCCTCCCACGTACTCTCCTTAAGCCACTTCCTCAACCCACTGTCCCCACCTCCGAGCTCTGACTCAGTTTTTGCATCTCGCAAACTCTGGAACCCTGTTTCACTAGTTGTTATGGGAAATGCTGCCCTACCTGTTTTCCAATCACTCCCATGGATTGGGATGAGGAGGGGGTGTGGAGGCTTGGTGTGCTCTAATTTCAGTTTGAGCTCTGCAGCTCGTTCCTTCTGAACCAGCCGAGGGCAACAGCCCTTACCACTGAAGCCATTAGCCTTCTTCCAAAGGGAACAGTCTCCTCTCATAGGATGAATACATATTTCTTCTAGGAGAAAAATATCAACCCTTTTCCTCATAACACCACAGCCCTAGCATTATTATGCTCAAAGAAGCTTCTTTATCCTGTTTTTACTACAGAGAGCCCCACATTAGCTGATTTCCTTTCTGACTGAGCTGTCTGGAAGTTTTCTTTTTCTTTTCTCTTTTCTTTTCTTTTCTTTTCTTTTCTTTTCTTTTCTTTTCCTTTTCTTTTCTTTGCTTCCTTTTCATTTGAGAGAGAGAGAGAGGGAGAGCGTACGAATGGGGGACAGGGGCAGAGGTAGAGAGAGAGAGAGAGACAGACATAGAGACAGAAAATTCCAAGCAGGCTCCACACTCAGCCTGGAGTCCGATGCAGGGCTCAATCCCATGACCCTAGGATCATGACCTGATCCCATAACCCTGGGATCAAGAGTTGGAGGCTCAAACAACTGAGCCACCCAGGAACCCCTGGAACTTTTCTAAATAGTTCCTCTCTGATTCTCCATTTTTTTTTTTCTTTGATAGAAAGAGGAAGTTGAGTTTCTGTCATCCCACCACATTGCAATGGGCCAGAGAGAGCAAGGATGGTAAGCCTGATTCTTAGATGTTATCACTGGGTGGGTAGGAATGCATCTGTAATACTTGACAGAATCCTTACTTATAGTGTCGATTATTCCTGATCTGGAGATGTCATGTTACTGCCCCTTGTCCTTTGGTCACATTTACTTGCCTCCTATCTGGGGGAGCAGGGAACATCACTCTAAATTCTCTAAATTCATGCTGGTGGAGTAAGTGGGCCCATGATGTCGCTCCCAAATCCTCTACTTAGTTCTTGCCTGCTTGCTGATCTAGCCCTTCAAAAATATTTTGCCTCATTTCGCATTTCCCAGAGGCCCTCATCCTACAGAATTTTGTCTCCTACACAAACTTGTACACCAACTGAACACCCAACTTCTTCTCAAATCATCGTTGTATTTTTGCTTATTTTCCTTCTTCTCCTTGGGTTGTACTCAGAATCCCTTCCATCTCCTTCAAAACTCTGTTCCACAGACTCCCCTCCCTTTCTGTCTTTGATCTCCAATCCTTCTTCCGGGTATCTCGTTCCTGCACCTTAACCCACCAAATATCTCCCAGCCTGAAACAACTTTCCCTTCACCCCAACTTGCCCTCGGGTCATCATCACATCTCTTGCCTTTGCTTCACTGCCAAATAACTTGAGCAAATATCCCTCACACTTGGTCTCTACTTCCTCGCCTCCACACATCCTCAACCCACAGCAATCTGGTTTGCTCCCAACCTCTCCACTGAAACCACTCTGACAAAGGTCAATAGCCTCCTTTTGCCAAACCCAGTGGGTGCGTTCCAGTGCTTATCTCCCTTGGCCTCTCTGTGAGTCTCATGTTAATCACCCCATTCTTCACGAGGCTCACTTCTCTGGGTCTCCACACCTTCCTCTCAAGTTTTCCTCCTACCTTCTTGGCATCTCACTCTTTTTCCTGGTCATATCATCCTCAGTCTTGATGGTGGCAGAAAGAGAACACCAGTAATTAGAAGTAGGATGTGAAACTTGGGGCCCCAGTGATGCCGCTTTCTGGGAGCTACAGAGGATCTCACCAATTGTTAACCAAGAACTTGGCAAACCAGGACAGAGGTGCCTAAGGAGCTGAAGATTGTGTGTCCAGGTGCTCAAGCAAGTACAACAGGAAATTTGCATTGTCTTTCATCTCTTCAAACTGTCTTCCCAGTTCCCAGAATCCTTCCTATCAGGGTGGAGATATCCACAAAAGAGACACATGGCTCCACAACACTGAATAAATGAAAACAATCCAACCATCCAACACCAAGGATTGAGGGTGAAGAATGACTGATGTGTAGTCTCTCATTCATGCACCATAGGAATAGTATTCTAGCAACGCTTCCCCCCTCTGCTCTACATAGTCATTCCCATTGGCACACAAAGATGCTGTTACTCTTCCTGTCTTTGAAAAAGTAATATCATATCGTATTTGTCTTTCTACATCTGACTTATTTCTGACTTAACACAATGTCCTCAAGATCCATTCATACTGTCCAAAATGGCAGAATATCCTTCTTTCTCATGGCCGAATAGTATTCTGTTTGTGTGTGTGTGTGTGTGTGTGTGTGTGTGTGTGTGTGTATCTTATTTATCCATTCATCCATTAATAGACATTTAGGTTATTTCTATATCTTGGCTACTATGAAAATGCTGCAATAAATGTGAGAGTTCAAATAAGTTTTTGATATCTTGTTTTCATTTCCTTTGAATATATACACCCAGTAGTGGAATTGCTGGATCCTATGGTGGTTCTGTTTTTAATTTCTTGAGGAACTTCCATACTGTTTTCCACTGTGGCTGCACCACTTCACCTCCCCACCCACAGTGCCCAAGCCTTCCCTTTCCTCCACATCCTCACCAACACTTGTTATGTCTCACATTTTTGATGACAGCCATTCCACCACGCGTGAGGTGGTATCTCATTGTGTTTTGATCTGCTACAATTTCTAGAGGAAACAAGGAACCAAACGGAGATGGTATAATTATTAAAACTTAGAAGAGGGGCCCCATGGAGCTGAAACTCAGATCTCTGAGTCTTTTTTTGACTGGGCTGGTGCCCCTACGTCTGAGGTGGCTCATAAAGACTTGGGCTGAGACTCTGCCCTAACCAAAGGTGTGTTACCTCTCAGACTCCATTCTGTCACTTGTAATGGAGAAATGATGGTGACTCTGTAGGGCTGCTGAAAGGCTAAATCAGGCACCATAAGCAAAGCACTCCCTTCCCTAAAAGGGTAGGGCAACCAGCTGACTGAAGATCAATTTAGTTGTTCAATCTACAGGAATATGACTACACAACAAACAGCTTGGGAAATGTCAACCGTCACATTACTTGATTTCCCTATTTGCGGGGTCAAAGTGACAAAGCAGCAGGTATCCCGGCTGCCATTTATCCTGGGGCAAATGATGAAGTGGCCCTTGGTACCAGACAAAGCAGGGACTTTCTCTAGGGAACCTGACGGTGAGACACGGAGCAACCACGAAGAGGGTTCTCATGTCAAGTTGTGGTTCCTTATTGGGTTCTGGCTAACTAGTCACATGCCTCCGTTCCATGAGAGCTAAGCCACTTCAGAAGAGTCAGCTAAAGGATCAAAATGCCAGTTTTTTTTGCTGTAAAGCTGGACTGGAGGCTGTAATTTGGATCTGCTCACTCCTTCTCCCCTTCCACCCAGGTGAGCCTGAACCATGACCTTAACTGCAACTGTAACCACAATTCTAATCATAACCCTTTCCCCACCCGGCCCGAGACAACTGTCAGGCTCCAGGACAGGCCTGGCTACTGGGCCCACGAGGGAGAGGACAGCACTGTGTCCCGGTGCAGTCTGGAGGGACAGCGAGCCAAGGAGGGCAGGGTGACTTCATTCTTGTCTACGAGACTGCCGTCTGTGGGGAGGAAGCTGGAAGGAGGAGGGTGCAGCCCCCTGACCCCTGGTCTGGAGAGGGACTGTGGCATCCTCCCTGACAGCACTCCCAGCCTTCTGTCCCCTCATCACTGTGGCTCCGCCAGAGCTGTGGGGCCTCCAGCCCCTAGGGGCGCAGGTCCCAAGGTGGATTCCAGGTTCAACCCCAAGCAACAAGCACAACAGCCACAGGACTGGCGCTGAGGACGGAGGGTGGGCACTCCTCCTAGGACGCAGGACAGGCTGGCCTGGGAGCACCGATGCCGTGGCATTGCAGGGTGGCCGGCAGGAAGTAGCCGTGTGTGTGCATGTCTGCGTGTGCACGTGCGTGCGAACTAGAAGAGTGCTGGCACTAAAGCACTGTCCCCTGGCACTCATTTCTGCAGCGGGTCCAGGCTCCCCGAGGGTGACATTAAAGGGAGAACACCCACCATTGTGAGGAACAGGAGGGTGAGCATCTGCGGTGGCAATCAGAAGACACAGCGCCTCAACCTACACTGAGAACTTGGAGGTGCTGCGGGGATCCAGAGGGGGAGGGCGATGGCAGGGGGCAGTGCTCACGGTGGCATGGTGGCCACCTTCAGCAGCCAGTCTTCCCTGTGGCCAGAGAGGCAGGCACAGGTGGGGCCCGGGGGTCAACACCACCCTTCTGGGCTTTTGGGATTTACCAGAGTAGGTAGGGGAAGGAGGGGGGCGGGGGAAGGACTCCTTTGTAAACAGTCTTAGAATCATCCCATTTGAATTTTAAAAGAAATCTGACCTTATTTGTAATGCCAGCTGTTACAGTGGTACACAGCAGGTGCTTAGTTTGTTTTGCTTATCTTTCACATTGAAATTCGATTTTTTTTTCTGATTGCATAAATAATACATAACGATTTTTGATAATGAGGACTACAGTTCACCCTTGAACAATGCAGGTTTGAACTGCATGGGCACACTTATATGTGGATTTTTTTGATAAATACAGTACAGTACTGCAAATGTGTTTTCTCTTCCTCTCTTCCTTGTGATTTTTTTTTTAAGAGAGAGAGAGAGTGCACACGTGGGGGTGGGAAGAGAGAGAGAGAGAGAGAGAGAGAGAATCTTAAGCAGTCTCCACGCTTAGGTGGCGCTTGATCCCACAACCCTAGGATCATGACCTGAGCTGAAAATCAAGAGACGCTCAACCATTTGAGCCCCCCAGGTGCCCCTCCTTGTGATTTTGTTAGTAAGATTTTCTTCCCTCTCACTTCTTCATTGTATGAAGGCAGTATATAATACATACAATATACAAAATACATGTTAATCAACTGTTTATATTACTGGTAAGGCTTCCAGTCAACTGCAGGCTGTTAGTAGTTCATTTTGGGGGAGTCAAAAGTGAGATGTAGATTTTGACTGTGCAGGGCTTGGTGCCCCTTAACCCCTGTGTTGTTCGAGGGTCAAGTGTATTCATATAAATATCTGAACAAAAAGAGTCACCTAAAACGGCACCACCCTAAGCTAGTCACCATCAATGTGGGTTATCACCTTCTCTTGCACCTCCTTGTGCATTTATATACATACATGCGTATACATTTCACAAATTCATAAATGTATAAATTTCATAAATGAGAGGGCATTATTCACTTTTTTAATCAATCACCAACCTTCCGCTCTCATTCCCCGACCCTATCCGCACCCCGCAGTCAGCCCTTGTTCACAGTCTGGTACGAACCTGTGCTTTGCTGTTTGTAGCTATCTGCTATTGGTCTTTGTTTTGTCAAATGAGGCCACCGGTTTCCTCGCATCTGGCTTTCCTCGGTCAGCAGCACTCCTGGAAATCCCTCCAAGGTCACCCGAAAGGGCTCCAGCTCCTCTTCGATGGCTCCTGCATGGTCTGTGGCAAGTGACGTTAAGTTGGCATTTCTCCACCCACTTTCCCCAAGGAGTCTGACCCCCGCAGATGCAGAAGAAATCTGAACCCACGTGTGGTGCAGCGGGAGACCAGGAATCGCCCAGACTGAGGACTTACTCTCCTTAGTACCTGGTAAGCACAAACTCGGAAGATTATCGGGGAAAAGCCTTTTAAATAACAATGATGGGGATGCTGCTGCTGACAGTGACTAATAGTTGCATTTATTGGTTTTGACTTTCTTGCGGACTTTGTTTTTTTTTTTTCTAAGTTTACTTTTTCCATAAGTAACGCCTTCCCATGGTTCAAAATCCCCAAACGTACAAAGGGTACACAGTGAAAAGATCCCTTCACACTCCTGTCTCCCAGCTGCGTGGCTCCCCACCCCACAAAAGTACCATTAGTGGGCACTTTCTACATTATTAAGAATTTTGATTTTCTTGGGGTGTCTGGGTGGCTCAGTCAGTTAAGCGTTCACTTCTGGATTTGGGCTCAGGTCACCATCACATGGTTTGTGAGTTCGAGCCCCACGTCAGGCTCTGCGCTGGCTGCATGGAGCCTGCTTGGGATTCTCTCTCCCTCTCTCTCTCTGCCTCTCCCTCGCTCTCTCTCTCTCAAAATAAATAAACGTTAAAAAAAAGAATTTAAATTTTCTTTATTCCATTTACTCATCCACCCAGAGTAAAGTAGGTAGTAGAACAGTTATCATTCTATGTTACAAATGAGGAAGCTGAGACTCCAAGTTTCAGACATTAAGCACAACCTGGATGGGGACCCCCAGTCTATCAGACCCCAGGCCCACTGGGCCGGGTTTTTTTCTCATCGAATGAGCTCACGGTGTGGCTCCATGAAAGGTAGCCGATCATAAGTCCGGGTCTGGAGTGAGTGCTCATCTCTCCCACTGATTCATCACTTTAGCAGGCCTGGATTTTTCTCCTCCGAGTCTTCTTGTTTTTCTTTTTTTCCTACCACAAGAGCAGAGCTGACTCCCTGAGCAGTGGGATGTGACCAAGCCAAGGACTGTCCCACCTACGTTTTGCAGCATCTGGAGCTTCTGGAGAAAGCCGGTGCTTGTGCAGCTGGGCCCCTTGTGTCTTCTATCTGCCTGGTGTTTGCCCTGAGGGCTCAGGATAGAGGCCGTCTGTTCCTGCATCTGTTTGCCTACCTCTGCCAAGAAGCCTTTCCCAATGCCCCTTGATAATCCCCTGATGCTCAGTTGAGAAAGATCACCTAGGCTTTCATGGGCTTCTTCCATCTGATCCTCACAACAAGCTTATGAGACAGGCATGAGGAAACTGAGGCTCAGAGAGGCCAAGGGACCCCCTCAGGACTCCACAGCATGCAAGTGGCCCCATTAGGACTGAAACCAAAGTTTTCTCAGGCCAGTTCCCTGCTCGATCTACTGTACTGGCCACCTCTATGGACTGCCTATGCCCTTTGCTTCTGGCTCTGGTGCACAGGCAGTACTATATAGAGGTTAAGGTCATGGATTTGGGGATTAGCAGACTGGGGTCGGGGCCTGGCTTTGACACTTGCCAGCTCCATAGCTCAGGACATGTTCCCAATTTCTCTAAATGTTGGCCAGCCAAAAAGCAGAGATGATAAGATTTGACTCATAAGGTCCATGTGAGGCACAGCGAGAAAACGAGACCATGTACACAGCGCTCTCATCACAGGCCTTGGTGGGATGTGAGCAGTAAAGGCTTTCTCTGAGGATTTTAAAAACTGACTCATTAGCTCCAGTTCTCCTTCCTTGTGCTTGGCAGACAGAGGCCTACTCGCCAATCTTTGAGCACGGTGCAGTGTTTTGCACAGAATGGCTGATATTTTGAGCTGGAACTCAAAGGGTGATGAGTCAAAAAAACAAGGGAGAGGCTGCCAAGGCCAGTAGGTGTGAGGGTGCTGGCATTTTCTCAGAATGATGGCTCTTCCCATGTGCTTGGACCTCACAGGTGGCTGGAGGGGGTGTGGAGAGAGATAAGCCTGGAGAAGTAAAGAGGAACCAGACCCATACCAGGGGGGTAAAAAGGAGAAAAAAATTAGCTTGTGGCCTACTGGGTCCAGGATGGGGATCAAACCAGACCTCTACGTCTAAGACTATTTTATTTTAGGCAAGATGGAAAAGAAATAGAACTTCCCGGGGGCCCCCAGCTACCCCACAACTGATTGGCAAGAACAGAATTTTTGTTGTTGTTGGAAGAACTCATCTGTTTCTCTTCCCAATTGCAAGTTTCCTTATGGATCTTTCTGATTTCCCTAGATTTTCCGGTCTACTCTTCCCACTGCTAGGATAATTCCAGATAAAGATGATCTCTTCTGAATTTAGCAGTAGGAATACTTAGGAACATTCAGCTGTAAAATCAGAAAGGTTTTGATTATTGAGGAGAAAGATCACACTAAAACAACCAAAAACAAGGAAACTAACCAAAAACTGCCTCTGCTTGGTCTGTGTGTAACACGGCAATACAAATGTGTAAATTTCTTCCTAAAACCAGAGGAGGGAAATTCTCTAAAGTTTATATTGAACAAGAGATGGTATTTAGAACATAACAACAAAGTGCTTATGATTTTTTTTTTTTTATTGTTTATTTTTGACAGAGAGAGCACGCACAGGGGAAGGGCAGAGAGAGAGAGAGAGGGAGACACAGGATCCCAAGCAGGCTCCAGGCTCTGAGCTGTCAGCACAGAACCGTGAGATCATGACCTGAACTGAAGTCGGACACTTAACCGACTCAGCCACCCAGCCGCTACCATGGTTTCTAATTTTACATATAGACCATGTCGACAGCACTTGCTTTGTTTTTGCCACGTTCATTAGGTTATTCTCATGCAGGTAAAAATATTCCTAAGCATAACCTAGTATCCCCAGGCCTTGCCAACCTGCAGGTGGTCTTGGGGTTATCCTGAAAATACAGTGTTTTTAGTCTATGCCTATGGCAGACAGAATAATGGTCCCCCCAAAGAGGTCCACCTCCCAATCCGCAGAACCTGTGACTATGTTAGGTTACACGGCAAATGGGAATTAAGGTTGGGGATGGAATTAAGATGGCCAATCACTGGTCAGAACATTAGGGGATAATCCAGGAAGGCCCAATGTAATCATGAGGGTCTTGATAAGAGGGAGACAGGAGTATCAGAGCTGAAGGATTTGTGAAAATGGAAACAGAGGCCTGAATAATGTGGCCACAAGCCAAGGCATTTGGGTGGCTTCTAGAAGATGGAAAAAGCAAGGAAAAAAGGATTCTCCTTTGCACTCTCCAGAAAGGAGCGCAGCTCTGTGACACCTTGATTTTAGCCCCATGAGACCCTCTGACTTCCAGATCTGTATGACAATAAATCTTTGTTATTTTAAGCCACTGATTTTTCAGTGATTTGTCGCAGCAGAAATGGGAAGCTAATATAATGCCCTTACTTGCTGATGCAGGAGCTGAGCCCTTTCCACCCACTGGGAGTCTCGTGCTTATTCTGGACACACGATCCTGGGCTGACTCATGTAACTCACAAACACTTCCCCCACATTCTTCCACTCCAGCTCCTTCAGTGACCTGTGATGCCCACGTTGCCTTTGACCATGTTTTGTCACTGAGGCAGGGACCTCTTGGGAGCACCCAGGCCCACCCCCAGGGGATCATCTTATACGACACGGAGCATCACATGCTGGGGTTTCCAAAGTGGCACCGTCCCTGCCATCATCACTTTAAACTTCACCATTGTCCCTGAAGGAACCGGAAAGAGATTGCTTCCCACACCTCATGCTTCGCTGGGGCATCTGGTCTCAAGGGGCGGCTGTTCGTATCTCTGTACAACATGGGCAGCCTGCATCCCATCTCCTCTGGGGAAAGAGTGGGATCTATCCCATCCCCGCTCTCACCGACGACACTCTTGCTGTGACTTGTCGGGCTCCCTCAGCCAGATGCCCTTACGTACATGAACCCCCCTTCTCCCCAACATCCACTCTCGCCAGACATGCCAGATACATTTTCATCCCTGCTAAGCCACAGGGATGCCCTGCCAGGGCCACAGAAGAGCTTTAGAGTTTTACTTGCCCCATCCCGCTCCCTAAGCCATGTTTCTAGAATCTTCATTTCCTCAGCCACCATGGGGTTTGAGCACCTTGGCTGGCCAGTAGGGAAGAGCCACTGAAATGTTTTGCTCTGGAGAAGGCGGATCCCATCACTCCCTCTGCAGCTGGGCACACAGAGCATTGAGACCCCAGCATCTTACCCCCATGTGCCCTCAGAGACTTATTCGCCAAGCAGCCTTTTTTGGGGAGAGGTGAATGCGTGGCGGGAACTAAATATCATTGCCAGCCCCACCCCCTGCCATTATACCACTCCCCATTAACCTCACCTGCAAAGCTGTTCAACCCTCATCCCAGATGGGCCTCAGGAACAGGCAGGAGTGACCCTGGGCCCCATCCCAGCTCCAGTCTCTCTGGCGGGGCCCCAGGTGGCTGTTTTGGCTGATAGAGCAGTCCCAGGAAGAGGAGGGGTCCCCTGCAAGCTGGGCTCACCAATCAGACCCTGTCTCTGCAGCTGAGTCTCTTGTGGAGCTCATTTGCATAATTTGGTTCAATATTTACTGAGCCAACCTCATTTTCTGGGCTGTCTGCATGGCCGACAGCTGGGAAGGCTGCAATTACCGTATTACACGCGCGCAGGGAAGCCACGGAGAGCGCACACTGAGAGGCGGCTTCCAAACAAATGGCCCTAGGGGAGTCCCCGCCCGTGGTCTACCCCATCCCTGCAGCTGGAAGGCTGCCTGGGCCACAGCTGCAAGCCAGGCTGCACCCAGGCACAGCTGACAACAACAGCAATGGCAGCAGTAACAGTAGGGCGTACTTTCCCTTAAGCCAATCATCGGAGCTGGCTTCTGTTGGGTGCTTTGGTGTGATCATCGGGCTTTCTTCTCCAGATGGGATTTCTCACTAATCCCCACTGCAGTCTCAGGAGAGGGGCCATCAGCAAGGCCTGTTTCAGGCCACTGTGTGGCCAAAAGGAGACCGATAGGCCAGGAAGAGGCTTCGCTTCAGACCCAGCTGGATTCAGGGTGTGAGTGATGTCATCGAGACTCATTTTTTCTCCAGTGAAGTGCACCCTCACACAGTTTCAGGGGAGAACAGTCTGAGATCAACTGCCAGAGGCCTGAGGGTCACTCGGATTGGACAAGCACGGAAAGTTGCCTCTCCAGGGCAGCCCCTCTGTGACACACAACAGAGCAAGGGAAGGTAGGGAAGGATCTGAGAGCAGACAGGCCAACAGTCATGGACTCTGCCCCTGGAACGTAGGTTCGTTTAAGGCAGGGGCCGCCGGTGTTTACTCCCCAGCATCTAGGAGTATCTGCACATGAGAGGCTTTCAAATAAATAGGCTGATTCCTGCCTCTGGATGGATGGAACATACTTGAGGCTTTGGGTAGACAGCCATTAAATGTGGATAAAAATAGCCAGCCCAGTTTGGTTGGGATGATTAAATGAGAAAATAGAAGTACACATGCCTAAAATTATAGGTCACACTTAATAGGGGCTCCATAAAGGAACGTAGACTTCATGAACTCATCCCTTTTCCAGCCATACTTGACCATGGTAATCAACCCAGACAGACAATAGTTGCCTGTGGATTACTTGTGTCCCCCAAGATAATAAAGTAGTTTTAAAAAATAATAACGCTAACCATTTTTAGCATACTTCGCCATTTACAATGCACCTTTACAATAATGATCTCATTTGAATCTCTCTAAACATCCATGGTAATCATATGATAATTAATGCTAGTTGAGAGCTCGTCCATGCCAGATACAGTCCTGGATGCTTTGTCTTTATTGATTCCCTTCATCTTCACAAGAGCCCTAAAAAGTAGGTGTTAGTCTCCCCATGTTACAGATGAGGAAACGGAGGCAATGGGAGGTTAAATAACATGATGGTGGTCACATAGCAGATAAACAGCAGAGACCAAAATCATCTGGCTTCCGCGTGCCTTCTTTTAACCACTAAGCAAGATGCTGTTCTCACTGGTTCCATGAGAAAACTGGACGTGGAATAATGCAAAAGTCTCACAAGTAACTGGAAAGTGGCAAAGGTGGGAACGGAGAGCAATAATCCGGATCTTTTCTGCGTTCCAGCCAGTAAAGCTTGGGCTCTCTCATTCCATAGTATATAGATCATGTGCTCAGAGAGCCACAGTTTTCAGTGGACAGCTGCCCGTGGGGCTTGGGACCCAGAGCGGACACACAGCAGGGATCAATGAGGCAGCTGAGTGGTGTGGGGGCAAGAACAGGAATCCCCTACTGAACTCTTTTCTTCACAGCAAACCTGCAGGGCCAGGGAACCTGGGTGGTGGGCAGGTCAGAGAGGAGAGGTAAGCTAGCGGGCAGGGCCAAGCCTGAAGACACTCTGGGTGCCCCGAGACAGCACCCCGCCCCCAGACACACAGGAAAGCACCAGGAAATGTCTGATGGGCGAAATCAAAACAAGCACATTACTGAGTTGGACCCAGTGGGAGTTTTCTCCACATGCCAGCAGAGAGGAGACACAGAGAAAACAGTGAGCCAGTCGGCATGCCACATTCTGGGGCTGCCCACACACACCTGGGGCAGTGAATGGCACCCGAGGGCCTCCCAGCCACAGAAGCTTTTGGGAACGGCAGGCAGTGAGGCAGACAGGTCAAAAGTTTACACCTAAGAGTCTAAATCTGTGGGATGCTAAATGCAAGGTAGTATCTTGGATTTGATCTTGGAACAGTAAAAGGATATCAGTGGAAAGCCACGTAAAGTCTGTGGTTTAGTTAATAGTAGCATAACCCAGCGTTATTTTCTCAGTTGTGGCAAATGTACCATGCTTGTGCAATATGTTAACAGCTGGGGACACTGGGCGAAGGGTGCACAGGGATCTCCGCATTACCTTTTCCTGAAAGTTTAAACTTCCCAAAGAATTTCATTAACATTTAAATGTTTACTTATTTTTGAGAGAGAGAGAGAGAGAGAGTACATAAGCAGGGGAGGGGAAGAGAGAGGGAGACAGAGGATCCGAAGCAGGCTCTGTGCTGACAGCAGAGAGCCCGATGTGGGGCTAGAACTCACAAACCGTGAGATTGTGACCTGAGCCTGAGGTCAGATGCTTAACCGACTGAACCCCCCAGGCGCCCCTTATTCAACTTTTTTTTTTTTTTTTACATCTCTAGATGGAATCTCAATTCCGTCACATGCTGTGCAACCCTAAGTCATTTAAGCACTCTGTGCCTCAGTTTCTTCATCTTGCACGCAAACATGGGGATAATGATGGTCCCTGCCTTTGAGTATGTATGACATTTAGCCTCATCTGACACTGTAAATACTCAATGACTGCTCTCCCGGGTTGTGGTAGACATGGGGACAGCTTCCAGAGCCCCCTTCATGGAAGCACTTGCCAGGGCAGCCCTGCCTGAGGTCATGCCCTTTCCAGAGCAGAGTGATGGGGCGAGGCGTGTCGTATAAAGACCCTGTCACTTCACCCAGATGCGGGATAGCTCTGCCCTGGGGAGGAGGTTCGCTGCAGGCCTCCCCGTGGGCCGGCCCAGGCTGTGTCAGGCCTGGTCACAGTTGATTTCCCTTGCTCAATCCCTCACAGGCATTGATTTCCTGATCCACATCTTGCCCCCCAACCCTGAAACCCATTTCGTTGTTTGCTTGTAAGAACCTTACCTGCAGTAGTTGGTGCTTGCTGGGAGTGGTTCAAGAAAGCAGGTGGTTCGATGGGGGCTTGGGAGCTGTGCTAATCCCTCTCGGCTGGCAAGGAGGACCCCATCACTGGCGGGGGTGAAGCACAGGCAGGTCCTGGTGCAAGGTGGCTTCCAACTGTTAAAACTTGTCCCAGTGCTGAACTGGATGGTGCACCTGCAGGTGGAGTGTGTTAGCAGGCAGTGAGTGCATCAGGCATTTGAGACTTGGGGGTCAGTGGGGGGAGTAATAGTGGCTCTAAAGATCACAATATTAGATGGCCATGGTAAGCACTATGGAGGCTCCTACAGAAAGATAATGAACAGCCGAGGCATAGAAGCAGGTAACAGAAAGCTAGAAATGGAAGCCACAGGGCCTCTTTAATTGCATCCAAGGAAACTTCCATACTCCACAGAAGGAAAGGGGAATGAATTCAAGACAAGCCTGAAATAGTCTCAGTGTCCAAACTTCAAAGGCAGTTGACTACCCAACCAAAGCAAGTCTGTTAGGCCAAGGCCAAGCTCAAGGCTTGGGATCCCGGCAATGGGATAGGGACATCGGGGTGGATGCCTCTGAATGTTTCAATTTCCCAGACTCCTCTGAACCTTCTGAACCAGAAGCATGGTCCAGTCTTCGCCTCCCCTCAAGACAATATGGAGGCCTCTACCTGCAAAGCAACATGTACTTCCCTACCCGCAGGGCCCACCTCAACCTCCTCTTCCCCGTTTGGAATCTTCTTTAAGAAATCCTTACCTTCCCTGAGGCTAAAAGAATGTTGTATTCCTTTCCACTCCCTGCTCCCCCCTCCCTCAAATCAATACAGCTTTTATTGTGTCTTTAAAATAT